TTTCCCTAGACTTTCACTCCTGCACACTGACTAAATCTGAACCAAGACATTAAATGCATTTAACTCTGTTAAAAAATAGTTTGAAAATTTCCAATGAATTTACTGAAGCCAATATCCCCAAATCTCCTCTCCCCGCCACATATATATTTTTTACATACTGTAATTGCATTTTTCCTTTTAATGAGGGCCAATATTGTGTCTACTGAGAGAACAAAATGTTCATTCAAATTTTAAAGCAATTTTGCACCAAAAGGTTTCAAGTTAGCACTCATATTGATCAAGCATGGAAAGTCAAAATGTTAATCCTGAGCTAAACTGAGGAGTACAAATATAAACAATAGAGATTAATTCCAACCTCAGAGTCTCCAATGTTTCATGACCATCATGAGTGATCTCCAAATGGACTACAGAAATGGGACATACTTGGATGACAATATTGTGGCACCAGCAAATCTGCTCCTCCGTCTCCCACTGTCTTATTACAAAAAACAAAATAACTAGCATCTATGATAATGCCAGGCGCTGTCTGCATGTTAGTTCTTACATGCAATGCCTTTTTTATTCTTTTGTGTGTGTGTGTGGGACGCGGGCCTCTCACTGTTGCGGCCTCTCCCGTTGCAGGAGCACAGTCTCCAGACGCGCAGGCTCAGCGGCCATGGCTCACGGGCCCAGCCGCTCCGCGGCATGTGGGATCTTCCCAGACCAGGGCACGAACCCGTGTCCCTTGCATCGGCAGGCGGACTCTCAACCACTGCGCCACCAGGGAAGCCCGCAATGCCTTTTTAATCCTTAAAACAACCCTGTGAGATAGGTACTATTATCCTTCCCATTTTACAAAAGGAAACTGAAGCCCAGAGAGGGAAAGTAACTTGACCCAGGTCCCATGGCTATAAGTAGTTGAGTTGGGAATCAAACCGGTTCCTGGTGCCTCAGTTCACACTCTACTGCCTGGCAACATGTTAGTTTCGTTGTTGTCGTTGTTATAATTTTGATTAACAAGAAGAATAGTTCTTTAACACCAGGGCAAATGTGTGAACCAAAGGGGGAAAAAAAATCTATGTACGTTTGTTTTTATTGGAAAATTTTGTGGAAATGATTGTAACCAAGCAACTCTAATTCTGGGAGAACTAATTAAGAAATGAATTAAGGAATTCGATGGATACCCAAATTAGTCATTAAAGCTTTAAGATCTGGAGTTCTGGTCTAAATCCAGCTTTGGCACTTGCATCCAAAATAAACATGACCAGATAAGTACCACAGCTCACAATTAAAATGGATTTATATGGCTTATGTGTCCACATGGGAGAGGTCGCTTCCTAATTGAATTCGGACACCTCTTCAGTTACTGTGGGTTTCATTTGCCATCTCCCTGTTCTTTTGTGACTGCCGGCAATAGGATTATGCTGAGGGAGAAATCATTTCAATCAGTGATGTCTGCAGAATGAGGGTTAAAAGATAAAAGTAAAGACTTTGAACTATAATTAGAAAATTCCTTAAGTGTGCTCATGTGACATGTGTTTGAGACTATGACTGACTGGCAAGATGAGTTACAGAATGGACGTCCAATGTCACTGTTCTGGGATAAGCAGCCAGTAAAACTGGTGTTCCAGCATGAGACAACCGTAATCTTTTGCAGGCC